TCCTTCAGAACAGTCTCGAATAATTGAAAAATCACTTTTGTTCTCTCTCGCGGAACATTTGGGATTATCCTGCAGGATTCTACATGTGAGGTATTATATTCAAAACGAAACACTAAAGATATTTAAAAAAATCTGTGATAATAAAAAAAAAAAAAAAACGAAACATTCAAGTAAAATCTTTGACTATTTACCGGTTGTTTGTTTTTGTTGAATTAAAATATTATTCAATGATCTTGGATTGTGTTTAGTTTGTTCTTGAATATTATCACTTGTATTAAGTAAATCTGTACTAGCAAATCTTTTTTGTTGAATATTTGATTTATGTTCAAAAAAATCCATTTCATTTTGAATTGTTATATAATTTATTTGATTTGTTTGTAAAGATAATTGATGATTATTAATATAATTCGATGTAAGATTAGATGGTTTTTCAATAGATAATTTTCGTTGTTGTATAATATCATTAGATTCTAATTCACTTTCTACACTTATATTTGCACTATCAATTGATGAAAATGTTCCTTTATATAATGATGGTAATGATGTTGAACGAGATTTTGTTGATAATAAATGATCATTTGATGATAATAATGATGAAAATGATGAAAATCCACTTGATTTTGTTATTGATTCATTTGTTTGTTCATATGAATCATGAAATTGATTTATTGAATTATTCTAAATAAAAATAAAATAAAGAACTTCTATAGAAAAAATTATAATCTACCGAAAAGAGATATTCACTATGATCGATGAATACTTTAATTAATGGAAGTAAATTAAAACTAAATATAAAAATTAAATTTTTTAATTAAAAAATAACAAAAATTATTTTTACCTATGTCCTTTAAGCATATTAAGATCAAGATCATCTGCTGGTCGAATAAGATTATTACCAAAAACGACAGCTAAATTATCTGTATCCATTTTAGTTATTTGAGCATGATCAGTTATTTTTTTTAAAAATAAACATAAATATGCTAAAATAGCATGATGTATATTTGTAAGATTAATTTCTATTAATTGTTTTAAACGATATAAATCATTTGTTTGATTATATTTAAAACGTGAACCTATTTCAAGAAATTCATCAAAATATTTTATTGGAATTATTGGTTCAGGTAATGATTGTAAATAAGTTTTTAATAATGAAGATATTGTTGCAGGTGAATAAGAACTTTTTAATTCAACTAATAAACCACGATCATACATATCACGTAATTCTTTTATTGTAGATTGTTTACCGGGTATTCTAATTAAATATCAGAAGAAAGATTTCTTTTTTTTATTAAATTAAGAAGTTTGCCTTTTTTTTTTTAAAAAATACTACCTAAATAAACCAACAAATGTTAAACCATGTTCAAGTAAATATTCACAACATTGTCGGACAATTAAAGGCACAAATGAAGTTTTATCTCGAGAATATTTATAAGTATCTTCTAATGATTGACCAAATATACCTAAATATGAAAACAAGAAAATTTATTATTAAAAATAAAATTTTAATCAAGAATTAGTGAAGATTAGAACAGGATTATCAAATCTCCTCATATATCCAGAATAATTCTGGTTTTTGAGTCTTTCTTGTGGTACTAGGAGCTGTTTTCTAAGATTTTATTGAACTCACATACGTTCGAAGAAAATATCGAGGTTTTTTACAGTTCTCTCCCGCCTGTGGTTGATAGAACCTAGACGGGAGAAGGATGTATAAAAATTATGAGATACGTTTCCATAACAAGGATGACACAGTGGGCGTTTTTTTGAATGGTAGACGGACATATGACGAAAAATGCTAAAGGATAATCCCTTGCTCTCATGTTTTTGGAAATGTTTGTGCTAATAGAGATTAGAAACAGTAGATAGAAAGACACTCTGGCAAAATTTGAAAAATTTTGATGGTTGAATTGCTCATGTTACACGATTAGCTCTTCGGATAATATTGTAGAAAAAAATATTATTACTATTTTATAGAGGTCGACATGGAGATACAGAAACAGTACTTGATTTGTCTGTCGAACAGTTTAATTTTGCCAGATATCAATTTTCCTCGGTGCGATCATGATTTTCAGACTAATTTTTAGACAACTAGATTTTTCAGTTTCCTTGAGAATTGTAACACAGTTATTTATACCGTTAGATAGACTATTTCCCTATATTTAAATCTTGAAAAAGTGCAATTTTGATTTTTAGTCAAATGTCCACTTACATGCACACTGTGACGAAAGGTCAAAGATCTTTGGGTACATTTTCCTAGGAACTGCAAAAGGTGTATCAGTGCTTAGATCATTCTAGATCTTCAAAAGCATCCTATGAATCTAATATTTCTACTGTAGATTCTAGCTATTCTGGTTCTTGGTATTTAATGTATTAGCGAAACGATCTTCTTGTAGATGTCAATGCGTAGAATGGTGGTATTATTAATCTAGCAGAGTTAGAATAGGATGAACAATATAGAAAAGTATGAATTAATTCAATTCGAAGTTTATTCAGAGAAAGAATGATGTGCTCGGAAATTAAATCAATGGTGTATAGCAGACTAATATGGTGATTGAATCAACGAAACAAAGAATAAAATGATATTTGCCGCTTTCTATTGCATGCGATGCCAATTAAATCTAATAAATGTTCTAAATGCAAATATTTTCGAAATGATAAAATTACAGAGCGTGCGTGTATCAACTATAAAAATTGTTAAATAATTTTAATTAATTCATTTATTTGGTATTTTTTATTTTTTCTTCATCTCAACTGTTAGGAACATATTTAATCAACAAGAAAAACGGTCAAACATCACGATGTAATGTTAGATTTCACAAAGAACAGAAGAAACATCCATTAAACGGACGTGACCATTTGTGGGTTTATTTTCATAACGATAAAAATGCATCTCACGTACAAAAATTAATTCTGTCTACTTTTTCTATACTGATCTCACATACATTTTGTAAATCAAATAACAAAAATTGTACATTGTTTCGCGTTTTTCTCACATCAACTTTTTCATGAACAAAAAATGCATAAACGGCCCGTGTCTTCTGTCTAGTACATCCGATCGAGCCAAGACTTTTTTCACATATACGATATACTGTTCGGATTGGGTGGGTTTTCTTTTTTTGTTTCAAAAAAAATATTATTTTGTTGATTTTTGGTAGCTCTATGTGAAAAAATATTAAAAAGGTACCCACTTCAGACAGTGTCTGATGCCTGTAAAAAAAATTTTCAGCCGAATCGCGAACATAACATCTCGAAGAAATGGAGCAACCATTTTTCGCTATTGTGATGCCAGTATCCCATAGAAGACAGCATCCGAGGTGATAACTTTTGCTCTATTCCTCAAGGTTTGCCGATCCTGAAAATTTCGAATTTTACTGACGAACCGTTCTCCAGAAAGGGAGAAGGATATACCCTTAAGAAATCAAATTACATTGATCTCGTGTCTTTTTCATCTTTGATTCCTAGAATATATGTGATAGTGCTTTTATACAAACTAAGAGTTGAAACATTTTTTACGCATGTATAAGGCACGTAGATATTCAGGTGAGGAAATGCAAGCCCTGTTCCGGCCGAAAAATGGTAGGACTCGGAAGTAGGAATCTGATGATTACCTCTGCCTGGAATTGGAAAAATCTAGCCACTAGTTCTAGTCAGAGTCGTTGACCTGAATAGTTCATAATATTAGAATTAATGTGAAATATACGATATTTATCACAATGCAAAGCTGTTTTCCAAACATCGTTTTATATAAGAAGAAAGAGAGTCATAGTTCGAAAGAGTCGATCCTCATCCTGAGCTAGATGCCTGCCTTCAACTTAGTTCCTTCCATTTAATGATACGATAAATAACGAAATTTATAGAAAAATTTCAAAAAAAAATAAATTCTGGAAAGTTACCGAAACAAAATAAAAAGTAATGTGTTTTTATTTTCATCACTCTTTTTAAGATATTATGATTTATGTATTGACTATTAATCATCTGTCTATATCATTATTATTCATAATGTAAAATCTTTTTTTTTATCTGGCTTATAAATGCAAATATCAGAATAAATAAAAAAAATAAAATAAATAGAATATGTCTAAAATTAATATCACAAAAAATAGTTTATTCAATATAGATTTCATATGATTAACATTAATTTATAGAACGAAAATCATAACTTTAAATTATTCTGCATATTGATGAGTCTTCAAAAAAGAAAAAATTTATTTTCATCATTATATCAAAGCTCGACCATATGGCTCAAATACGACAAAAATACATTGTTTAATCATTCTTATCTAATGTGTGATACGCAACTATCTTTTGACAGTTAACACCATGACCTCTTTTATTAACTTGTAGTCATATAAACATTTACTTGAAGATTTTTGTTATTTAATTAAAAATGATTAGTATAATCATCTGTAAAGTAAAAATAAGAAACATGAATTGAATGTTTTTATTAAGTCAATCTTAAATAGACTTGAAACTTAATACGATTCGTCATGCAAAATTAAATCAATATTATTTTAATACTTTTCTTTTATTTATTTACCTATACACTTACAGGTTTCTCGTTTAGTAATTCATAAAAATACACAATAAATTCTTTTTTCAAGCAATATTTTATCCAATGTAGAGACGGCGTCTCTTTGAAGACCGATTTAACTCTCTCGGAATTTATAGGTCTTGTTCTATGTATTCGTGCTCGAAAAATTAAATGTTCACCTTTTTGGAGTTTTAAACCCATTCCTCCGGAAGAGAAAATCTGGATAAAAAATTGCTTTCGAGTCTGTGTCTGTTTCCGATCTGTAATACAGTATCGTCATTCATTAATATTT